TGTTCTGTATAGCGGCGTTCGGTATAGCGGTGTTCAGTATAGCGGCGTTATAGCGTTGTACATGTTTGTTGATGAATTTAAGTCGCTTGCATATTTCCAAAGTTCCCCTTGACCAAAATGTTTCCATCTAATCTCTGCTACATCAGCAAAATATGCACAATACTCTCTCACGCATCAATGATGCAAAGCAATTCACCTCTTTTGGTAATGGTTTGGTACATGTACATGTAGTTCTGTTGCTATGTACAACACTTTTCAGAGTACTGAGGCTGTCATGGTGAAGTCTTCTTTGCAGTTCACAATGAAGTAATATTTTGCAAGTACCATTCTGTACTCCTAGCCAATCACGGGACAGAATCTGTTGGTGAGGTTGTATGATGTCTCATACATATACACTAACCACTGGGCATATTTGGAAGGAATATTCCTGCATCCATGGAAATACAACATTGTGCAGGAAATCAATAGCATATTCTCTAAACTCCCCTCAACTTGGTGCATCAAGCTCAAAGAAAATAAATGATAGCTAATCTGTGCTGCACTGAATCCTTCAAACTGATGTACAAGCAGGTGTAGGATTTTCTAGGATTCAGTATGGTTGGCATTAAACATCTGCATCCACAGGAGAAATAGTGGATTGTTTTCAGCTGAATATCTTGACTTTTTAAAACAAGATATATGTACCGGTATGTAGGTAATGTTGCCTAGTCCACTTTTCACCACAAATGTTGACATTTAAGATCATTGTCTAGCCATACAATCCTCTCATATGCCATGAGGAAGTATTAGCAATGACAACTGACCAAGGCACCAGGCTAAGTCAAGGAACCACACACTGTCAGCCTCCATGGATGCCATAGACTTTCTGTTTGTGTAAACATTAATGAGAACTGCTGCAGTATAAGGGCATGAGCACACGCCACTCACTACTCACTCACCATTCACTAGCAACAGAAATTGCTACAAACACGTTTACAGGTCCTTCATGAAACCATCACAGACAAATTGTAGTAGAAAAACACCTCCGCTGGTTCACGATGGCTAATTAAGAGGTCAGAATATCAATGGTAAACAGTGGTTTAGATCTTACATTCCAGTGCTGACATCCTTCAAATTCATGCAAAAGCACTGGCCACAGCTTAATCAACTGCCAAATTCAGACCAAAGTTTGCCAGAAAATGAAAGTATACAAACCATGGTAACCAATTTTTAGGGTGGATATACATGTGCACTGTACTTACAGCTGTGTAGCTCTGTATACTGATGTTGTCCCCATCACCATCAATTATGTCTTCCTTCTTCTTGCTGCTTTTTCTACCTCTCTGGGGGAAACAATAACAATTAGTTTACACTAAATGGGTTGCCTGGCCTACAGAAATCTTTACTTAATTTGTTCTGAGAAAAGAAGATGTAAGTGCAGTGTCAGTGGGTGCCAACATTCAGTGTTGTAACCACGTCATATTTCCCAGGTCAAGTCTCGAGTAAAAAAAAATCGCCTCTTGAGTCAGCAGCACTGCCAAAAGTGTTCCCTATTTTTTCAAGTCCAGCACAAACTATACATGTAGAAACATATACGTTAGGATTAATGAATAAAGCCATGTTACCATTTGGGGGGGTGGGGAGGAGGGAACTACTATGCCCAAGCGGAGGAATTGTAACATTAATTTCAATGGGAACAGGCTCTGTGATGAAAAACTTTTGTGAGTGCACTGTTAATAAATAAACGCCTAGTGTGAAGAATGGGTCCCAGACTCCTCAGTGTGAATATGAAGGTGCACCTTCTGGGCAATTACATACATGTAATTTACTTACATATGTCAGTTGCACAGAGACTTTTATGGCAAGATTAATTGAAATTGAAAAATACAGTCAGGTTTTGTACCAATAAAACTAATCCTGGTTGCATAACCTAGCAACTGAAGCAGCACGATTGCTGACTATTGTTAGTATGCAAAGATACATGTACACATCAACTCCACATATCTACATGTACAATGTGCCATGTTTGCTCACCACAACGTGGAGAATTAGTGCTCTGGCAGTTTAAAAAAAAATAGGTCCAAATAGAAATGCAGGGAATTTACACAAAGAAATTTTGCAGAGTGCTGCAGTAAGTTTTCATGGGGCCATAGAAGAATGTCCAGTGGGAACATGGCTCAAATCTAATGCTAACTGGATTACAGGGGGTTCTGCATTAATCCTATCAGTTCTTGATGAGGTTGAGAGGTGTAACTTCATGGACTACATAACTGCATGTGTCTGTTTGCATTTGTCAGACGCTTCCATCGTAATGCAGTATTTCCCCTCTCTTTTTAAAAAGTAACAATGAAACAAACCATGTTGCTTATGGGGCACATGGCCTAGAGGTTAGGGTTTGTAGCTTTTGATTGCAGGGTGGGAGGTTCAAATCCAGCTGGTGGCAGCATGTTGTCGTCTTTGGCAAGTCACTTTACCCCTATGTGCCTGTCTCCACCCAGGAGTAAACAGGTACTGTGAGGGCAGACAGATGGATATGTTCGCCGTTTGTGCCTGATATGGCATCAGGCTAATTTACTCCCAAGGAATGTTCAGATGATGTGAGTCCAATGTGCAGGGATAATGACTATCATTGTCACTTCATAAGAACTGTTCATTACTGTTGTCAAAATATGCATTTTAGGGCGTGGGTGAGAGGGGTTGTTTTCATTCGTTTCAAATATTAAACCGAGTTCTAGTTTGTCTAACAAACAAAACTGTTCCCTTATTAAACCTGTGGTGAAGGTCTGCCCTGTACACGTACATCACATTTAACCTTGTATTTATTATCTTGCTAAGATTCATTACAAAAATGTTAAATCACATGGTTACTATTGGGCAATTCCATGGTGCCAGAGGCTACCAAAACTTCCATGAGTCACACCACTGACCAGAATTTATTTCCTTGGTATCCACCCTCAGCTAAAGTGCGCCCTCACCGGCCAAAGAAAAACAGACAAGACTAAGTTTTCCAACCGGGTTCTTGCACATGGTCGGCGTGCACGCAAAGGCTATTAATTCCAGACTAAATTCGTTGCTTGTACTCAGCGTCAAACACGCATAAACTTGCACGCCTACATGTGCTGAGTGCTTACCAAATGACTGTCAATTTCATTCCGAAACACGCCCTCTTTTGTTCTTGCTCGGAGCGGATACCGCATGAATGAGAGGTATTTTTGTTCCCTTCAATTTGATACCACAGATATTGTTTGGGTCCTGTAATTCAGAAGATTTACTAAACTGTATGTCTCAAGCCCTGTTCACGTTTCCACAAACATACCCTATTGCCAATGTCAATGTCAAACCTATACCACTGAAGTTACCTTGTTAAGGTTCAGGCTGTTGACACTTATGTTATCCAGATCACCTTCCTCCATCTTACGCTTTTTCTGTATGAACAACCAGATACATGTATAGGACACTTTTACCCATTTCAAAATCAAGGTAGAAAACTCCAGTTGTGTGAATGTTTCTGGCTTATTATGAAAAGTCTGAAATACTGCTCTTTTAGGGATAAGAAATTTGTTTTCCCTTGGGAAAGTCTAAAGTAGATAGATGTTGTGGACACAGTGGTTTGTAGAGTATGCATGGCTTGTGCAGTTTGCATGTAAATGGCACAAGAAGAGTGACTGAAAGTGACTGAAGGTTTAGGTACATCCTGCGTGCTTGTATGTTCTTACCTTGCTACCCATGCTGCTGAATCGCAAGGTCTCATCCACTCCTTTCTTTCTTTTCCTCAAATTCTAGAAAGAAACAAAACATAACATGTCACCAAATTAGTTCAGTAAATCAATGGACTGGCCCACTGGCAAGAAATCTCTCTACATGTAACTGTCCAAAATTCTTCACAATCCTTTGCAATCCATTTGGAGGATTTTTTATATAACTCCTGGAAATGTGCAGACCTCCAAGGGGGAAGTAAAGGGAACAGCAAACTGTGTCATCCAACCAATGACATCACTGGTACATAAAAAGGGAAGATTCTGTGTGCTGGGGATATGGAACTCTTTTTTCTTCTGCAAGAGTACCTCAGTACAAGAACACTTCAAAATCTATCTCCAATCTCTTCAGTACTGTTTCAGAGCTAATGTATTTCAAGCATTCTGATTTCTGAGCAGTAATAAGGGAATAAATATGTGCTTGGCCGGACTTAAACGTGCTGGCCAGGCACTTATTTATTCCCATTCACAAATACTTTTTTTAGTCAGAGAGTCAAAAGAAGTCAATATATGACGGATTTCCAACCATTTTGTTGTAGAATTATACTTTCGTTTTCTCAAATACCCCCGTCCATTTTATTTTATAGTTGTCCATAAGAATCTCCTTATATGGACTTGGCGAGTGCGTGGTGAGCCACATGCACACAGACTCTTGACCAATCAGAATCGATTAAACTGTCTAGTGTCCAGGTGCCAGCATGAGATTTACACAGTAGGGATTATCAGTTCTCAGTGGGCATTACCAAATTTTATTACATGGTCAAGTTGCACAAACATGTACATGTAGTTGAATAGGTAGACTGTCTGAGGTATTTATGAATACTCATTAAATTAGCCCATCTCTCAATGTACACAATTGCAAAGTAAAGTAAACTCCGGCTAAGTCGGCACTCTTGGGCCTCAAGACACAACTTGTGTTGTAAGTCGTCATTTTGCCGACTTACACGTACACGTGTATTGCCTATGTTCATTATGATTCCTTGCACTAATTCAATGGCTTTGATTTATCCTGGTTTATTTTTAACTCCATGGTCGATCCCAGCAAATTTGTTCTTGATTTTTATCCTGCAAATTCAATAATTGATCATGTGCCCCTAAGGGTGTCGGTCACTTCGCCCCATTTCCACTGCCCGCAATGCCACTTCGCCCCTAACCACTTCGTCCCATTTCCACTTCGCCCCATTGATTATCGGTCATTCTGTTCTTCAGTAAAAGGCATAGGCCAAGATGCAACAAGTAAAAACATCAATGTTTTAGTACCCAAATAACAATCAGAGAATTCAACTTTAAAAGGGCACATTTTTTGGCGAGACCCTAAAATTTTTATCGGCAAGTTAGAAAAAAAAAGTTTTCTTGTTTCGTTGTCACTGTGGTAAAAACACTTGAGCAATGCGCTGGTTCCCGCCGTGCACCCCCGTATAAGAGAAAGTGTGATTGAGTGTGGCAACCACTCTATTCATGCCGCGGCGACCGTACATACTACATATATGTGATGAGAAATAACACAGATGCTAGTCCAACCATATGTTTAAATTCACCATAATGGACAAAACAGTCGACATTAATTTAATGCAGTAGAGTTTTCTATAATAACTACATGTTGTTTGTGGAACTCCCCTCTTAACCGTTTTTTTTAAGGGGCTTGTAACACACTCGAGCATGGACGGCAAAGTGGAAATAGGGCAAAGTGAGGACAGGGCGATGTGAAGATGGGGCGATGTGGAGAAGTGGGGTTGGGGCGAAGTGGTTAGGGGCGACGTGGAAATGGGGCGAAGTGACTGTAAACCGCCCCTAAGGACAAAACAAGGATGGTAAGCCACTTGCATATCATATCACGACTCGACAGTGCAGTACGTACATGTACGTCATACTAAATTACGGTAAAGAAAACATACACTCATCCACACACATGCATTGGATAAGTTCGTTCAATATAATATGGATACCAGCCCCCATGATTCTGACTACCCGACGAATCATTATCAAGGGTTGTCCGGGATCTTTGAGCAGGGAACCAGACTACGTTCAATAAGGCGACCCCCAAAATGGACAAAGCGCATGTGTGTAGCACTTGAGGGGATACTGGTATTGATGTATTCATGCAGGCCACGCACGCACGGGACTTGTCACTTGACACTTGGCAACCACAGTGAAGGAAACTGATACTGAAGCGCAATTTTTTTAAGCTGACTTACACAAAGGAATGTTTGTGGTTTTGTGGAAAAGGGACCGAGAAAAACATTCTGACTTATATGAAATGCCAACTTTTGTCAAACGGCCAACTTGGACGATATGACGGGACGCGATGCTGACTTAGTCAGAGTCTACTGTAGTCTTTATTGGCCAGGAATCAGTGTTATCATGTGACTTTACATCACCACTATTTTCTCACATTTTTACAAAAAGGATAAGGCTTAAATAAAAAGGAAACAAATAATGACCACAACTAGAAACGAAATTCCCTTGTTAGTTAATTCATGGCCTGGGCACTTACTCGTAGTAGGGTTCTGCTGGTCTTTGGTTTTGCAAATGTGTCATTCTCTATCATTTCTGGAATGTTCCTGCATAGGATTTAGAAACAAACATCAAATATGAAACTCTGGTCACAGAGAAAGGGTGCGGTACTTGCATACATGCCCCTGATGGCTGTTAATGGCGCTTTGGCAGCTGGTATATGAGTGGATCTGACAAGGTCAGTTATATCAGTGCATCAGTTGTCTGATGAGGTCCAAATGAGAAACATAATAAGTGACGTAAACATACATTTTGCCCCAAAAAGAAACAGGTCAAAGTCTCAAAGTATGGGTAGCTGACTCAACACATTCAGTGCAGGCTTTTTGGGTGGAAACCCTCCACAATTAGCAACACTTTTTACAGGAGGGTTATTAAACAAAATTTGGGGGGGTTCACTTTTTTATCATCCATGTTATGACCTGACATTTGGTCTAGCCAACCACTGTCAAACAAGTATGCAGCAGACATCTTTTCTAACAATACTTGAATGGCAACAAATATATATGTATTTAGAAAGTTCACATGGTTTGAGGTTGGATGGTCGATATAAGCTCCCCAAAGGCAAGGGAGGTTTCATCTTCCAATACCAAGGGGAGCTTATGACTATTCACCCAAGATAAACCATGTTACATGTCACCATACATATATCTCATGCATATTCATTTCCTATTTCAATTTAAGGCATCATTCAAAATGTTCATCAACATGTACATGTATGCCACCATCTTTGCATATACATAAATGTGCTCAGGGCAGTGCGCTTATACATGGGGCCTTGTGAGATACCGGAACAATGGGAAGTACCCCACAAGGCCAGTTTTTACCTTGTGGGGTACCAAAATACACAAGAATTTCATGAAACTGATATTTGGAAATAACTCAAAAGGGGAAATTTTTGATTAGTAAAAATCTGTCGCAAATTGAAGTGTTTTATATAAATTTCCACCCAGAAAAGTGAATTTGGTTTAAATTGGAGTGATGGCTCGACGGCTGTTCCATGTCAAGATAACTAAACTGCTGCCAAAGTTTTGGAAGAGCCCATTGGTACATGTAGTATCTTATCGCTCAGTCTGTGTATTACATATGTCTTGACATAGACAGCCATCGAGACGATGAGGAGTCAAGTGACGTAATGCTCAATGACCTTATTTTAAAGATGGCGACTGAGAGAGCGAGCCCATTAGATTGAATGGATAAAGGCAAAAAGACTGGAAAACACCTGAATAACGTGAGTAAAATCATTCAATAAATGGAATTTCGAAAGCGGAAAGGTCAAGAATCATGTTCGTGTGCAAAAGAAATTGCGCCCACGATGATAAGTGGGTGCGCTGGAATGTTCAATACGCTGACACGAAATTGCGTAGACGGATGTGTGGCCAAGGATAAATCGGGAGTGATCCGTGCCACACTAGTGGGGCTAGTAGGCCTATTGACCAGGAAACAGTCATTGGTAGCACTCCCAACGCATTTGAATAGCACAGGTGGCGAAAAGTTCAAGAAGTGTGTGCGTGTCGAGCAAAAACAGGCAGATTTTGAAGTCAGAAATAGCATTGAAGCACCAACCGTATGACGTTGACATGATTTATGGAAGCCACTAGGCAGTGACAGAGGTATTTTTGGTGAGTCTTTGGCATTTTTGAGAACCGATTTAATCTTATTAAATGAACAGGCGTGGAAAGCCATTGGTATGACGATCCCGTCCAAAATCGTAAAAGAGGAATACTAACGCTCCATTTAGTCAGTTTAGTAGAGCTAGATTTAGGCCTAAGCTAGGCCTAAAAATTTCACCTGCAAATTTTTCTTTAGCACTCAACATTGCCAGTTGCCTAGGGCATGTAGGGGTAAAAATCACCTGTTCTTATCTGGAGATGAGATTAAATTATTGTTGTAACAATCTGTCTCATCATTAGCGACACCAGACAAATCTGTCAAACTTGTCCCCTTCGAGATGGAACCCTGGGACCTTGACCATGTTGACTGTACAGCTGACATGGCTGACGGCGCACTCGCCGACCTTGCTCGGGCTTGCATTGCAGCGATACGCGGTGACCGTCGCAACTCGATTTCCGGTTTGGCACACACGGTAGTTTCATTCATACTTGTTCTCTTTGATTTTCAAATACATAAAACTGGTACCGAATCAGTGCATCCCCAAATTTCGGACTGTTACGCGAAGAGAAAGAACGCCAAACACAAATTACAAATAATAACAATTGCGTTGTGGGTCACCAACCAATCACTGACAAGCAGTCTGGGACCCCGTGGCACTAGCATATGTGTTGCACGCAAATGAAAGGGTAATCGATGTTATAGGTATTTTCGACACTATTAAGAATCGACGAACTACTGCAGGTTGTCAGATCAGGTACCGATTTCCTAGTTGAATATAGTATCGATACTTATTAGAACCAGACTACACATTGACCTACCAGATGTGATGGGCAACATGTCATGCATGTGCCACGTCTTTCTACATATTATTCTGGTGGTACTGGCACCGCTGCTGCTGGCTAGTCGCTCGGGTGTGCGTGTCATCGATCGTGATTTCAAACTGACAAAATGGTATGAACTACGGTATTTTTTGTAGAGTTTCATAATGCATCCTAAGGAAATAGAACGAGTGTTCTGTACTCATTTTCTTAAAGTAAACTGTACACACACATGGCACAAAACGACTGACAGTCGTACATGTATATCGGGCATGTCGGGGAAAGAGTTCCATATTTTAGCGGACAACGCTGTGCAGAAACGTGACCAGGTGATTGAGTAGATAATTATCATGCATGTCACTGATATTGACTGTTAAGTCATGAGAGTCCAACTGTTCATGTGTACAGTTTACATGTGAAAAGTTGCTAGCATTACTGGTAAATCACCCTAATGACTGTGGCCGGAATGCTGGTCAACACTGTTGGTTATTGTACACGTAGGGCCTATGCGCCAACTTGTACACAGACTTTGTATGCTGACCAACTTGTATACCAAATTGTACCATTAGTTCAACACGTGCAAGCACGTGTGCTGTTGCGTTGCCCTTGCTCTAAGTGGCGTAACTATGGGGGGGGGCCACATGCCCCTCCTCAGCTGATGCCCGTACCCCTGGGTCCCCCTCCCTTGTGAATAATCTCTGTTGAGTTTATGTAGCTATGCAGCTGCAGCTTATTTTCTTGTGGTGTCCCCTTGACAAAATGCGTGCACCTGCAGGCCTTGATCTTGGGGAAAAAGGGGCAGGCCACTTTGGCCTTGCCTTCATCATGGTTCATCAAATTTCAACAGGGCACCAGGCCAGCTTGAGGGGGCACCAAGTGAAAAATGGAAAAGTAAACAGAAATTAAATAAATTCCCCCCCCCCAAATAATATAATTTCCCTAGTGAAAACTAGAAACATAACAAAAAATTATTATTTAATTATTTATACTGGGGCAACTTGACCCAGGGAAGACATGACTTGGGGATGACTTTACATTTCTTTAAGGGCACGATTTTTTACGCTGCTTTAGGAGTGTTGAGGAGTGCGCTAGGAGCGCGGCCGCCTGCGCGATCGGGCTCCTTTAAAATGAAGGACTGGGTCAGTGATTATAAAGCTCTGGAACCCTCCATAGGCCTTGTGTACCATTAATTAGTTTCACTCAAAACATCAGTTGAGGTGCACATCACAACTTGGGAATTGTACGTGTATTTGGAGAAGTCCCTTTATTTGGGGACAAAACCAATCCCCTGAAAGAGAGAATGTCTTCTTAAAAGGAGACAGTTTTCCCTAGTGGGTATAGATCAAAATTATCCACATGCTCCAGCCTACCTTTGTGAACTAATACATGCCAAAACTAATGTACACTCCTTACGATCAACTTCCACAGGTGTGGTCTACTTACAGCAGCCACTTACATGTACATGCAGTAAAACAAAATATTATGGCGACCGATCAGTGTATGCCACTCGTGTATGGAATGTGCTTCCAAAGGCAGTTCGATCCGCTGGAAGTTTAAATCATTTTTAAAATAGCTTAAATCTCACCTTTTCTAGAATTACTTTTCAGCAATATTGCCCAATTTTGCTAACTAGGAAGCCTTTTTATTTTATTTGGTTGTAATTGTGTAATTCGAAAGTCTTGTATTTATTATGTATCAGCTTTTAGCCTGTTTATGATATTGTAATTGTCTTTCTTTCTAATCTTTTTTAATGGTATTTAGTGTACAGCGCTTTGTGATGTCGTTGACATGGAAAGCATTTTTAAATTCATATTATGATTATTATTATTATGCTATTACCAAAAGATTTTCCCCCCCCAATTTTCCATTCATATTCAGTTGAATAATTTGTTATGAACTTTATCCCGTGTCACTTGATGAACTTTATCCAGTGAGGATGCAGTCTTTTTTCCCCCCATCCGTTATGTGCCATTGCAAACTCCTGTTTGTAATGCTAATGGCTTCCTTGGGTGTTTTTCTTCTACTGAATCCAATTAGGGTATTCAAAGGATCCCAGAGCAATGGTAGGACCAAGCCCACTTAAAAAAAGTCCCCATTTAGAGGGACATTCTCTCTCATGTCCTTGAATAAAGGGACGGAAAGAGTTTCATATATTCCCTGCATAAACGGACAACACTTGATGCCCCTGTGCACAAACCTATGAGAAGCGTTTTCGTAGGAAATGCTTCGGATTGTATCCAGCTAAATATTACTTTTAGTACATCTTATCACTTTCTGGCGGCTGTTATAAAATTTCAAGGGTAAATAAATGTCTGTATGGAACTCTTTCCAGAGGGACTTTTCCAAATGACTGTCCCCAAGTTGTGATGTGTGCCTCTACTTAACTCATACCCCAAATCATAATTCTCTGATTTCATCCCCCAAACATTCAATATTTGAATGTGACCACTGTCATGACTCAATGGAAATTGAAGATTCCAACGGTGTTGGTAAGGTTTACTTGGGAAAAAAGGAGAAATTTCGAATCAGAAATACCCCTGCCGTTGAGCTCGCAGTCGCCATCTTTATGTAGTTTTCAAACTGTATGTACAGGGAAAATATTGACAGTGTCACAATGCACCAACCAAGCGCACCATTTTTAATTAAGCATTTGTTGTGTGTAAGCTTATGCCAATGACTGCTTTCTGAATGGTGCAACGTCTGGTGTACAGCTTGATTTATTTATAGCATCTGGACATTGAGCCACTCAGGAAACAGTTGTCAGTATTCACGTGTACACTCCTCAGACTGAATTATGAACGGTGCACTCAGCCTGCGCATTGTGATGTGTTTTTGCGTGTTTGTCATGGTGTACGCTGAGTACGCGCAACAAATATATTTCTGGAATGTATGGTGTTCGTGTGCATGCCAACGACATGCACTGTATAAAGTATTTTATTTTGCTTGTCTTTCTAGGTTTCTGTAATCAGCACTGTAGATACTGCCCATGAGGACATGATTGTAAGTATGCTCAGTTTTAACCCTCTGTGGACCAAACATTTGCTCTAGTCATTTTGCCATTTCCAATACAGCTGGAGCCAACATTTATTCCGACTAAAGAAGATGAGACTTTTTTTTTTACAGTTTTTCATCTCTAGATTTATCAACAAGTTACAAAAACTGTGACTTTTTGAAGGATTTTACAAATTGTGTATATGTGGTGTCTTTACCCACACTTTGCCAGCGGTAACCATTCTGCATTGAATTTGATGTGTATGGCATTGAATCCCATAGCATGATGCCCAGATGGACTACTATGGTATTCGTCTGGCAACCTGCTCATCTGACCGCTCTGTTAAAATCTTTGATGTCAAAGGAGGGCAACAAACACTGGTTGCGGATCTCAGAGGGTGAGATTTTTTTTTTTGCATCAAGTAGGTTTGCAGTCAGTAATATTACGCACAGTGATACTGTCAATTTCGACGTCATCTTTACCCGATAATGAAGCTGCGCATTTCTCAAAAGCAACTGATTAGAAAGAAGAAATTTGTTTAGAGAGGATGGTGAGGAAATGTCCAGTAATGGATATGAGAATAAGATTGTAGACACATGCTTGGTAACTACTGAGCTGAAAATTTCTAAAATTGCTTACAAAGGAGGGAGGTACAGAAGGTACCATTGGATTGAACTTACCCGATTTGTCTTGGAGTCTGCAAATAAACCATTTCTTGAGCAATATAGATTTGAATTTCAAATGCAGACATGAGGGACCTGTTTGGCAGGTTGCTTGGGCTCATCCAATGTTTGGTAACATCCTGGCATCGTGCTCCTATGATCGCAAGGTTCTGATCTGGAAAGAGAGTAACGGCGTTTGGGACAAACTCTTTGAACACAGCAACCACGATTCATCTGGTAAGACACATGATAGTCTGCTGGTTCTATCATTACCTATTATTATTTACTAGTTTGTTATTACCTTACCTGGGGAAAACTTGTCTATTACCTGTTTAGTATCGTGTAATGCATGCGCACTAGATCCCATTCAGGTTCTGATCAAAAGCTGTCAAAGTAATCACATGACCACTCATTTCCCCTAGATGTAGGCAGTGGTTTGTTTAGCAGCCTTGTCTCATACCGTGAAAACTTGATCTTGGGTCCCTTTTCACAAAAGGTAACCGTGAATGCGTTATCAACAGGCATATGTACAGCTGTCACATATCATTCCAATCCCGTACGAGGTGCTGGATCAGCATTTTTCTCCCATTTCTTTCACCATTTATAAACCTTTGAAGGTTCGGCTACGATGTAAATACTGTGTGAGGCACCAAGTTATTTGGCTGTGATAATGGTAGACATATGTCATGTCATGAGGATCATTGAAAGCTGATCCACTTGAGATGTCTTCAAGGTATTTGAACATAATGTATGATGTCAATGATGTGGGGTTAGAAGGTTTTTTGACACAACATGGGATTTCCCAGATTTGGGATTGGAAGGTTTGCAACACAATGTGGGATATCCCAGAGGTGGAATCAAAAGGTTTGTGACACAACTTGGAATATCATGGATGTGGGATCAGAAGGCTTGTAACAGCCTGAGATATCCAGGATTTGTGATCAAGAGGCTTGTGACAGCCTGGGATATCCTGGATGT